GAGATTGTAATGTGTCTTCTTGGTTCCTACGCACACTACATTCATGTAGATGTAACTTCTGATTGTCCATTATCGCCTATTCATAGTATGTGGTTCAATAACCGAACTGATTCAGTTAGGGTTAGGAGAATTTGTACCAGACTAGGCAGCAATTGTGGTTTGATGCTCAAAATAGACTCGGTTGAATAAAAGAACGATATTCTATGTTTGTCGTTTTTTTATTGTTATGGAATATTTTAGTTCAAATGTAGTATAACAAAAATAAATAATGCATAAAAAAACAAATATTTGCTACTATTATTAATGTTTTAAAATAAAAAATAGTCATTAATTACATCATTATTGTGCATCGTCGCAATCCAACTTAAGTTTAGTCAATCTTTCTGCGTACTGCGCTGCCATCAGAGTATCAACACCTGCGCAATCCTGCACACAGTCCGATGTAACGCTCAAAGCACGGTACATTCACTACAAAAAATGGAAGAATAAAAAGACATGATAAATATTTATTAGAAAAAATTATTGTAATCAAATAACATTAACAAAAATTTAGTAAACGATTTACATAGTCGATATTGACACGCGTAGAGACCTGTTTTCGTCCGGAAGATTCTCGCCCAAGACAGTAGGATGAGAAACCTGACCGTACAACTGCAAGTACTCCGCAGTCGCCTCCTCTCGATCATGTGTGTTGACCGTCAAAATACTGGTGTTGACGGTCTGCGACATCGTGAACTGGTTCCACGAACCTACTACAGCAACATCGGAATGCTCAACCTTGTAGAGCCTCGACTCCCAAGCACGTATAGCAGTGATTGGGGGGACCATAGGGGGAGGGACATTCCTGAAAAACCCCAACTGACGCAAAAACCGCAGAGGCAAGTACGACTTGACAATATCGCGACACCGAATCAATCCACAATAAAGAGTCTTCGGCTCTATCGAATTTGGGCTAGAGGTGTCGTATGACAACCATTGCACCTGTTCACAATTGCATATAAACATATATAAAAAGAATTATATTATTTTAAATAACGGGTAACTAAATTTAAATGAAATAACTTAACATACATCAGAGGCAGTGAGTCTTTCAAGGCGTCAATGGATAGATATGAGACGATCTTCTGACCTTGGCATCACCGCTATGCTACACGACCAAGATCGTCCGACGTCATCAGGACCGATGGGTAGACGCCCCTGGGGTCGGAAATCGGGGAAATACTCATATATCCATGACTGCATAAGAGTCAAGCAGCCAGACAGTCCATGTGAGTCCCCTCTGCTGGCAATACCTAACTGTCTGTACAAGTATGTCAATGTAGCCGATCCCTATGCGTAAGTCTCAACTGTATCCAAGCTATCGAGCATCTCGTGCAAAAGTTTGGGACTCACTCTACTACCACTCTTGTCAACGAACAAGGTGGTAGACAACAACACCCAAATCCAGGCACTAGCCTCATCCAAAGCCAACCGGCCTTTCCCCTTGAATCTATCCACAACGGAGTATTCGGTCATCGAACCATGCTGCCAGAACGACACAATGATGTCATCCTTCGTGGTCGAAAATATCTCCATGAATTACACCTAGCAGGCGTCTGTATCCGGGTCCTCAACGACCATGGCTCCTTCCACAGGAACCCCCAAAATGGCTCGGACGTCGTGCAACATGATGCTCATTTCACCAAAAGGCAGGTGAAACGAGTAAGCATCCGGCTGCCATCGCTCCAAAAATGCAGAAAGCATTGCAGTGTCCAAGTGGTTGTGCGTGGAGTGTACCAGATTTGACAGTCCGGTCTTTCCGATTAGATCTTGTGAATCGAAAGACATATCACCGTGCCAATTCTTCAGATTTTCCTGCGCTCATTGTATGTTCTGGCATTCCAGTATGTCTCGCATCTCTCCAGTCCACATCGGGATGCTACTTGCCCTAAAAGCTAGGGATAACACTCCGATCAATGGGCCCACTGGGCACTAGACCTCTAACGACTCAGGTTGCCTCATGGTCATCCTAGATCGCTTGCTAGTACCTGCATTAGAATAGGACACACACACATACACACATATATATATATATATATATTTTATATGTATATGACATAATGCCACTAACAGTACCGATAATTTGTTATTATTAAGTCAAAATATTTAATGTCAAACAACAATAAATACGTAAATTATTTATCTGATGATCCAGTGGCAGCAAAACGCCCCCAGGCTGTCGTGGAGGAGCAAGCCGTGCAGGAGGAACAGGCCGTGCAGGAGCTGCAGGCAGTGTAGGACCCGCAGGCTATGCATGACCCGTAGGTCGTGCGGGTCGTGCAAGAAGTTGTGGGGGGGAGGGGGGTCGAGGAGAAGGAATATCGTCCTGATCATATGAAGAGACGTACTCGTCAGAATCATCTGAAGGTTTCTCCCTCTGGGACACCGACTCATCAACATAATACCCCTGCTGACCGTACGGTACTGGTGCGGGGGTATCGAACTGCCTGCTTGGCCAACAAAATAATATCCCTACTGACCAACCGGTACCCGTGGTGCGGGGAGTCTCGAACTTTCTGTTTGGCCAGCTTTGACCAGTCTGTATCCTCTGAGCCTCTTCGATCATCGCCTGCCGTTCCCGACGAACGAACGCATTTACATTCCGACTTCTAGTGTGTCGGGCTCCAAAACCTTCAACATACTCATCGACCACGTCTTGATCCCTGACAGATTGTCCAGGTCTATGAAGACCCTAAATCAACAATTTAAGTAATAATTAGTAAATATTATTTTTTAAAATTTATATAATATGATAATTACCATTATCTATATATATATGTATGTATATATAATTTATTATAACTAAATTGAAAGTAAATATGGATATATATATATATATTTTAATTAACTTTTTTGAGTCAAATTTTAAATTAATAATAATAATTAGTTAAATTAATTAATTATAATTAAATTTGAATTTAATTATAATAATTAGTAATTAATTTCAAATTTAATAATTATTGTAATAACTATTAAAATAGTAATTAATTAATTTTATAATATTTACTAATTTAATTATAATGATAATTAATAATCTTTTTATCAAATAAATTAATATAAATTTTTATTTATTAATATAATATTTTTTGTTTTAAAATTTTAATAATTATAAATTATATTAATTAAAAGTTATAATTATTATTATATTTAATAAAAAAATTGAATGTTCAGAAGACACATGACCGATCCGCAAACGCGCATTTTTTACGGCATCTGGCCGGCAGATGTCGGACGCCATCGGTGGGCGACCGGTCGCCCTTTGGGTCGTACGCAATCACGGTCCCTACGACCCTTACACTTTCGGTACTCCCTACCGGGCGCAGCAATAGAAATTAAAAATAAAAATAAAAACCGAGAATTTAGAGAGATAGAGAGAGTAAAGAGAAGTCAGTGAATTTTAGATTAAGGGCAAAATAGTAAATGGAAGAAGGCGGTGAATAGCGATTTGCAAAATATATCAATCATAATAAATTTTTTAGTCAGTTCTTTTATTTTATATTTTTTTTTTTTTTTTTTTACAAAATCATACTTCTTTAATCATAATTAATATAGATAACTAGGTATAGATAGATAGATAAGTTCTACACTAGGCTTGAAAATTCTTCCATTTCCATAGATAGAAAGATAGCTTCCTTCTTTCATTTTGTCCTTTTTTATTTATAGTTGTACAATTCTTTCATGGAATCATCATAGTTATTATTCCACAAAATCTTTCTTTTTTATATCATGGATATTTCTTGTACTCTTTTTTTTTTTTTTTTTTTTTTTTTTTTTTTTTCCTTCATTTTATTGAAAGTTGACCACATATACCAAAAGGGAATCCCAACTAGGGAGGGCATTAGGTGTGGGGACCACATGCTTGACAATTAAGAATCTTTCCTCTTTCCTTATCAACAGCAAACAAAACCCACAGTCGGCTTTGCATAGATGATAATAGATTCACATATTGAGAGTTTTTGTTGTGACAGGTAATACCAACTTCAGAGGGAAAGAGAGATATGCTATTTGCTCTCATAACCTTTTAATTTGTGGACGGGGTTTCATTTTTTTTCAAAGAAAAAGACTGGCTTTTTTTTTTTTTTTAATTTACAAGATTGGTACTTTGGGTGAAAATTTTCTAAAGAAAATTATATGTTGCTGCTGATATCCCTGCATCTCAGGTGACCACAACAAGTTTTGGGGAAAATAATATCTATTTATTGCAAATTTAATCAAAAGGGTGGAAGAAAATGATATATTTATTGCAAATCTGAGCAAAAGGGTGGAAGAAAATTAAAGCCCTATTGCTTACAATATTCAAGAATCTTTTCTTTTTCCTCCCATTTCAGATTTCTTTTTCCTTTTTTCTTTTTTTTTTGGTCTGATTTTTACTCTGTTTCTGTGGTTTATATTCTGCTTATGTCATAAATAAATATCTCTTGCTGTTCTTGTCTGTGCCAAAAGTTCATTGATTTTACATTTTTCATGTTTTTTTTTTTTTCATAGTAATGGGGGAAAAAGTGGAATCTTTGAGGGTGTCACTGTGTCTTTTGGCTCTGTATCTTTTGGACTCGAGATTTTTGACATCCCTTTAGATGTCCCTTTTACTTGTACTTCTGAATTTATGAAAAGAGTCTTGAAATACAAATTTGAGCTTTAGCTCAGCTGGATATGCTTTAGCTGATAGCTCAAGACAAGGAGTCCAAGTTGTTGTAAGGACATAAAAATTCGATCTTTGATACTCTTGTGAAACACAATAAGCCAAATAGCATCTTGGGCTGCTTTATAGATTCTTTTACTTCCTGCACAATTAGTTCTTTGTGGGGGGTGACATGGGTTCTTAGCATTTGATTACAAATTAAATATCCGTATTTGATTACAGTGCTGATCTCTTCTGTGGTAGGTTTTTCTGAATTTGGATCTGAGTTCAGTAGTTTGTGTGTGGAGACTGTGTTTTATTTTCTCTGAGGATCTTTTTGGTAATGGAGGAGAGTTATCTTCCTCTAAGCACTATTCTCGACACACCACCCGATACCTTCATGGATTTGGATTATATGGACGAGCTCTTGCTCGAAAGTAATGCATCCGAGTTCTCTCAGTTCGATCCCTCGACTTCCATCTCCCCTTTCGAGCCCTCGTTCGTGTGGCCCGCTCTCGAAACCAACGAGGGCCCGTCTAACGACAGCCAACAGGTAGACAGGCAAAGATCTTCTTTCTCCAAGAACCTATCCATCAGCCAATCTCAATCTAGTATTGTCCCCCGGCCCGAAAACAGTTTTGTCGAGGCCCAGAGGTGGTGGATCGGGCCTTGGCCCTCGAACTCGGTGCTGGACCGGTTGAATCAGGCACTCGAGCACATTAAGGAGCGGTCGAGGGATAAGGACATGCTCATCCAAGTGTGGGTCCCGGTCAGCAAAGACGGGAAGTGTGTCCTGACCACACACAACCAGCCGTTTTCGCTTGACCTCAACTGCCAGCAGAGGCTGGCCCACTACAGGGATATATCCGTCAATTACCAGTTTGTTGCGGACAAGGATTCTAAGGAAGTTGTCGGGCTGCCCGGACGGGTTTTCATGAATAGGGTGCCCGAGTGGACGCCCGATGTCCGTTTTTTCACGTGGGATGAGTACCGAAGGGTTGGGCATGCTCAGAAGTTTGACGTCCGGGGAACGCTTGCAGTGCCGGTTCTTGAACAGGGGAGCGGGAGTTGTTTAGGCGTGATTGAGGTTGTCTTGACCAAGCAGAAGATACAGTTCAGAACGGAGATTGAGAGCGTCTGTGAAGCTCTCGAGGTTTGATCTTTGTTTCTTTTTTTGTTTTATTATTTTTGGGATTTTCAAGATTGTGATTTCTATGTGTTTAGCTACTGTTTATGGGGCTTGTTGTAAATAAATGAAATTGTCTGGTAAATGTCAAAATGTACCAAATTTGAAAGACTTAAGCTGTGAAGGGCCAATGTTTATGTTATCCAAGCCTTGAATGTATCTTTTGCATGAGGTTTTTTATATATTTTCATAGACCAACTTCTGTTTCACTTACTATTACAAATCTTGCAATAATCAGAGACCAAATTGGAAATTTTTGCTTGCTTTTGTAGGCCGTTAATCTCAAGAGCGCCGACGTTTCAAGCAAAAACAACGTCAAGGTAAATTTTCCAATTCCATAAAATCCATCGACGAGCCTTCTTCTTCTTCTTTACAGTTTCAATCCTAAAACGATACTTCCATTTTTTCAGCAGACAGTCGATTTACCTTACCAACCCGTACTGCCCGAAATCCTCGACGTCCTGAGATCCACATGCGAAACTCACGGCCTCCCTTTGGCCCAGATGTGGGCCCCATGCTCATCCCGGGTCCAGGGCAGGTGCTGGCGCTGCCCGGATGGCATCTCGGATAACTGCCTCTCACCCGTGGAGCTCGCGTGCCACGTGGCAGACCCTCGTATCCGGGACTTCCACGAGGCGTGCGTGGAGCACCACCTGTTGAGGGGCCAGGGTATCGTCGGCAAAGCCTTTGGTACCAACCAGCCTTGCTTCTCGCCCGACGTTTCCGCCTGCAGCAAAACCGAGTACCCGCTGTCCCACCACGCCCGCATGTTCGGACTCCGTGCAGCCGTCGCCATTCGCCTGAGGAGCGTCTCGATTGGCCCAGACGACTTTGTGCTCGAGTTCTTCCTGCCCACGGGCTGCGTGGACCCCGAGGAGCAAAGGAAGATGCTCGACTCGCTTTCCAACACCATTCAGAAAGTCTGCCGAACTTTACGTGTCGTCACGGATAAAGAGCTGGAGGAGGAGCAGAGTCTGCCTATGAAGATAGGGAGCGTTAAATCGGAGGAGAGTTTGCTGGTCGAGAATAATCGGACGGTGGAGAAGAAACGGGCCCGAGCCGAAAAGACCATCACTTTGGAGATTCTCAGGCAGCACTTTGCCGGGAGTTTGAAGGATGCCGCCAAAAATCTTGGTGGTAATTTTCGAAGTTTTGTTAACCCTCTTCCTTACGATTTAAACAATGGTAATCTTTTCGACATTTTGTCATTATGCCTAACATATGATGAAATCGCAGTTTGTCCGACAACCTTGAAGAGAATATGTCGACAGCACGGAATCCAACGCTGGCCGTCTCGTAAGATCAAGAAAGTGGGCCACTCCCTGCAGAAGATCCAGCGCGTGATCGACTCTGTTCATGGCGCCTCGGGTCTCCTACAATTCGAGTCCTTCTACACCAACTTCCCCGACCTCGCATCATCCCAAACGACCACCCGGCTTCCCGATCCCAAATCCCCGGCCCGCAGCCCGAGGCCCGCAGACACCTCCTCGTGCAGCCAGAACTCGAGCTCGAGCCAGTGCTACTCGAGCGAGGCCCAACCCGTGGCCTACTCGGCAAGTATCCCAGGCCATGAAGGCCCGAGTGTGAAGGACGAGCCAGGTCAAGGCCCGGTCAACGGAATCGAGACCAGACAGAATCTGCAACCATCAGTCGACGGTCCCCGAGAAAGGGGCGGTCAAAGGGTGAAAGTCAACTATGGGGAGGACACGATCAGGCTGCGGATGCAGAGCGGTTGGGGGTACGTTGACTTGTTGCGGGAGATTACAAGACGGTTTGGAGTGGGCCCGGGAGTCGAGTTTCATCTCAAGTATTTGGATGACGATGCTGAGTGGGTCCTGCTGACGTGTGATGATGATCTGGCCGAGTGTGTGGACCTGTGCCGCTCGTCTGGGGCCCACATGATTCGTCTCGTGCTAGTTCGGAGGTAGGGTTCGTGCTTTTTTTTTTCTTTTTTTTTTTTCGTTTGTAGACTTCGTAGTGGTGTGGCTCGACGTATTTGTGGGCCCCGAGAGGAAGGGTTTGTGTTATGGAGTTTGTGTGCTCGTCGGTGGTTCGTGTTTATAATGCCCTTAACAATCTTTCGTTGTTGCGACTGAGGAATAACGAATGCTCAAGTTTTCTTGGGAAGTTGGATTGGACGTGCAATCGCGAAGCCAAGGAAGAATGAGGGAGGTATTGTAGGTTGAACTGTTGGCAATTTGTGTTTTGTTTAAAAATATGGTGATTCTTTGTTTTTTGTTCCCCTCTCTTTTACCCTTTTCAAGTTGTGATCTGAACTGTAGACTCTTAAAACTGTATATTTACGGAGCAGAGACGAGGAATTAGTAGTTTTTCTGCATAATAAATATGCAGTATGATTCAGTGTTGGTAGGATTAAAATCGACTTATAGTCATTGTAAATGCGTGTACATTAGGGCTGCTCATTCGGCTGAAATCGAACCAATCTAACTGAATTTTGTGTGTAACCCAAAATTCAGTTTATGGATTATAAGAATCGAAAACCAAATCAAAATCCATGGTTCCCTTAGGTTTTTAACCCAAATTTTGCGGTCGGTTCTGTTATCGGTTAGTCACAATAAATAAATAATTTTAACCGAACCAAAAGTTTGATTTTTATCAGTAAATTTTTAATTCTACTCTAAGGAAGATCTAGAACCCAAACATGAGTTGGGATATGACAAAGTCAATTTTGAGTGAAAATTAATGTTTGAGCCATTTTCGAGGTCAGTGAAACTTGAAAATCATCAATTATTAGAGCAAATTGATGCTTTTATAACTTATATGTATGCGTGTCTGTGTACAAATTTGTTTTCAGTTAACTTAACTGATCATGATTTTTCAAACTAAACCAAAAATCGACTCTGTTCGATTTCGGTCAGTTCGGCTCGATTAACCGAATATTGTGCACCTGTAGTGTACATACAATAATTCACTTGTGAAATAGTGACAAGGGGTAATGTGACAACTTCCAAACGTTCATTATATTTTGTGTTTTTACACAATTTTAAAGTTCACCTTTTTTCGTGTTTTTACATAATCCTAGCTTGCCCAAGTTATGACCTGAACTCATGTCATTAAATTCCATAGTTGAAAATTAAGAATTCATTATAGTTATTGCATTGGCATAAGCTTCATTACAAGATTTTCATGAACTAATACTACCTCCTATTATTTTTAAATGTCATTTTGGCATTATCAACTATTAACAAAATAAATATCGTTTTGGATATTTTGTATATATTTTTCCATTATTACCCTCATCTAGCTAAAAGAAAATCAGCTTACTGGTTCTAATTACATTGATTGAAAGAGGAACTTAGACATAGTGTTGACTGTTGAGGGTTATAAGTTTGCCATCAATGAGGCTTGCCCGGCAGAGCCCACAGCTAATGCTCTTGAGTAGGAGAAAGGGGAGTATGCTCGGTGGAAGAAGGATGATGAGATGACGAAGTGTTATATTTTGGCTTATATGTCGAATGTTCTTCAACATCAACATCAGTCTATGACCACTGCAGCAAATATAATTCTCAATCTCAGAAATCTGTTCGGACATCAGTCTAGGGCTGCTAGGCAGGAAGCCTTGAGTGCTCTGATGCACACGCGCATGGCCGAGGGCACACCCGTGAGGGAGCACGCCCTGTCATGGCGCAGCTCAATGAGCTTGAGGTGATGAGAGGTTTTATTGACGGGGAAACCCATTTTGATATTATGCTCCAGTATCTACCAGAGAGCTCTGATTAGTTCCAGTACAACATGAACAAGATGCATATGACTCTTCCATAACTGTTGCATATGAACAAATAACTTATTCAATCTGCAAATAATTACTAGAATTATGAAATTATCAACTAAAATAATAAATTATGCGATTTGCAAAAAACTATTCTAAACAAATTGTGTTAATAACAGTTTTTATTTAAATATTATTTAATAATTGTTATTTTTTTGTGTATTTAATTACTCAAATTGTGGATAATTAAACAAATAATTTGACCATAAAAATTTACATTCTTAAGATACCCGCACTGTACTTCGTGTACCAATTTTAAATAGACATATTTAATGTAATTTTGCAAAATTTATATTTCAGGTAACATTTTCAACAAATTAATACAAGTAAGTTGTATTACATATTAATTCCATATTTTAGATTTATAAATATTATTTAATAAGAATTTTTAATTTATAAATATTAAAGAATATTTCTAACCCGTGCATCGCACGGGATTCGTATTAGTTTCTCACAAAGGGACCGGTTTTTAAAACAACATTGGGCTGAAAAATATTAAGTCCAAAATGGTATAAGATTCGGCTAAGTTAAAAAAGGTGACAATACGGCTAATACTTGAACTCAAACCACGAATGATTTTTCGTTCGCAAATGAAAACAATAATTTTGGAATAATTTATGTAGACGAGGACATCTACGAAAAATTATTTAACAAAATAGTCATCTAGACGAGGACATCTAATTAATTAACAGAAGCTAAAACGAAGTTTTTGCCAAGCAAAAATATTTGAAATATAAACGAGGCAAAAACCAAAATATGCAAACTCGCATAAAAAAGAAATGGGGCACTACAAGTGGTTTCCGGCAACGCGGGACTTGGACGTCCAGGTCAGCGGCCATGGCCTGGAGCGGGGAGGGCAAATATGGCAGCAGGTTCGGGCGAATATCGAGGGAAGATGACGGCAGAAGAGAAGATATTGGAGAGAGGGAGTGGGTATAGGTTTTGGTGGTTGATAAATTTTGACAACCAATTTCCGTGTGATTTTCTGACGTTTGTGTAGTGGGGATTTTTCAAAAATATTATCTATATTGCTTGATAAAAAGTACTTATCATAAAATTAACAGTTCAGACTAACAAAGACAATAGGTTGGTTGTGTTGGCTACAATTGGCGCCTTCAGTTAATATTAGTAAAATATCACAAAAAAATAGAACTGAAAAAAATAAATCAATTAGCCTTACCAGAATTTACAATTGGACTTAAGAACAAAAACATAAAACATCAAGAAAGCAGTGTTGTTTGGCGTTAGGATTTTCTTGGACTTAAGAACAAAAACTTAAATCATCAGATTTCAATTTGCTCATTGTTGGAGCCAATTGTACACGTTGTTTAAGACTCTTCTCCTCTTGTGTTTTTCGGGTTTGGGTTGACTGAACCGACTTTTTCAACTATAGATTTATTCTTCCATCAGTGTCTTCAGAACTTGTAACACAAGAACACTAATATTGTGTCTTCAGAACTTGTAACACATCTGTTGATCACTACTATGAAGAACACTTGGCTCCTGCAATTACTAGATATGATTCATAATGAATGCCATATTTACGAATACTATGATTATGTAGATTGCATTACGCTCCCATCACACGCCCGACAAAAGTGAGGAGCCATGGCAAGGTAAACATGGTAACTCTTTAGCATACTAGATAATCACCACAACAAGCATATCATCAACTATAATATATTTTCTCAAGAAAAAAAAATCAGGAATTTGCACTTGAATAGAAATTCCTACCCATGATGTGGCTCAAACAGAAAATCAAGCTCCATCAAGGAGCGTTAGCGTGCAGGACCCGCTCTATCAAGATGCCATGTCCTGTCAACAGATGATGTCAACATCAACAGATGATGTCAACAGATGATGATGATTCTGAACACGGTGTTTCTCAAACTCAACTCTGTCCCTCCTCAGGTATAGAAAAGTATCTAAACTACAACTTGACATTAGCCGTTGTGGTTACTCTAAGCACTATGGAGCCTGTAACTACTGAAGGCAGGATTTCAGTGAGTGCCCTCTCCAAGTTCGTCCGCAAGTTTGTCGAAAAGAATGGAGGGAAAGATTGGGACGGCTACACAATGGAGGATGTAATGGAGATAGCCAATTTTTACTTCCAACTGCCGTCACTACGGGGTTATAAAGATTATGTTTCCCCATTTGTCTTTCTGATGCTGCTGACTCCTATCAATTCACGTTTACGAGAAACTGAAAGATTACGTTTCCCCATTTGTGTCTTTCTGATGCTGCTGACTCCTATCAATTCACGTTTATGAGAAACTGAAAATCCCGAATGCTCCTTCATAACACGTAATGGTTCAGAGTTTTGTAGTCTACGAACATAATATAGATATTTTTTTCTAGGTTTTTATGGAGACGTATGATACTGCTATGGCCTATGTTTAATATGAGTGCAAGTTAAGACACATTTTCAGAGTTTTGTGGTCTTATTAATGTAGATATGCTGCTATCTTTCTAGGTTTTGACTATCGTTCTGACTTAAAATATATTCTCTTAAAATATGTATTCTTTTTTTTAAGACAATCTAATCTATTCACATGAAAGATGGATTTTTTTTTTTT